ACACACACACACACACACACACACACACACACACACACACACACACACACAGTAAGCCATCTGCATGTTTCTAAAATATAAAGTGATAAATATAGTGATTCTAATAGTTGATTAACTTGTCCTCCATATATTTACGGAACAAAGAGAAGATATCTGCCGGCTGTGATTGGTTGTTCCTCGTCACATGATGCTGCAGCGTTCATTAAGTTGAGCTAATTTTTATCTCGGGGTGCCGTATAACACACAAAAGCTAAAAGCCTATTTTCCAATTAAATGTGTCCCGATTGTCCGCTCGCAACAAAACAAAATCTGGTCCATGTGGCCACTCTTCATGTCAACACATACGAAGCAGATGAAGGAGGATTTTTTTCCTGTATTTGAATCGGACGGACGACTTCTTCTCGTCGCCGTTTTAATTTTGTTCTGAAGGAATGCAGATGAGTGATGTAGAGACACCGTATACAGCTCTGGTAGTGACAGCGACCTGTCAATCACAGTAAGCCCCGCCCTTTGGTCTTTCAAGCACCGAGTAGCACAGGAGGACTGTGAGCTCTGATCCTCGTATGAACTGACCTGGACCTGCTGGATATATTTGGGCATCATCTCAGCCACGTACTCCCCAAAGGCTGCCAGCTGGCTGTGAGTGACGGCATCCTTGGGCCTGACGGTGGCTGCATGGAGGACAGAGGAGACAGAGGTTAGGGAGGACTGGACAAGTCATCACTGCACTCTCCTGCGCTAGCAAACACATCATTAAAACAAAACCACGTCATGATCACGCTCACTTAGGAGACAGGAAGTGCACTCCATTTAAAACCATTGGCGGTGCTTGTAAAGACTCATCTGCTCTGTTATTGAGTAACTCTGGTATCACATACTATCACGATGGTCATTTTAAAGGAGACGGACACAGTTTTCATCGTGTATTTTAGTTTACATAATTAATAATGCTTTGCAAATAAATAAGTTGAGCCATGATGGTTGTTTCTTGCAGTAGTTTGTTGTTGGGGTCCTTGTAATGACGTTGGTGGGATGAGGGTTAAAGTGATCAATAATTACGACACAATAACATAATAAACATACGATTCTGAAATGGGCCAGTCTGCCCAATGAGTACTTGATGCTAGTACCTTTGTACTTTTCCTAAAAGATCTAAGTACTTCTTCCACCACTGGTCTCCTGCAGCATCAGTTAGTTAGTTGATATGTACTTACGACTGGTTTCGGTGGTGGAGCTCTGCAGTCTGTTCTGCTGCTGGAGGAGACATGAACTTCTTGCAACTGGGGAACATAAAACATGGAGGAAGGAGTCAATAAATAAAATAATAAAATAGTATAAACACGCCACTGATGACATCATCTACAGAGCTGTGGAGGAGCTGGAGTGATGTCAGCAACACGACAATAATAAGAAGCAAACAACTCATAAATCTACTTTTAAAACTCCTGCACGAGCGTTAATTATGTCTAAACTGTTACATAAATACAACATGAACTGTCCTCAGCGCATGCTAACGTTAGCATTAGCTAGCTCGAAGGTCAAACCTGACACATTTTAACGGGTAAAAAATAACACTGCGTTGTTTTCAGCACCAACAAACGACACGCATGAATTATATGCATCACTTCAGCAATCAGCAAGTATAAAATAAAACAGGTTTATGGTCAGCTTACGGTTATAACTCCTTCCGAAACCTCCACGGACGAACCGTACTAGGGACGCCGCCATGTTTGTTCCACAACCGCTTTCTTCTTCGGGTAGAAGACGTTTAGACTGTTTGGCGGGCTGTCGCCCCCTGGCGGGCCGGAGGAGGAGTGCAATGAAAGCCGCTGAGCTCAGTATTCGTCTCAATTTCCCTGATTTTAATCGGTATTATATGGAAATAAATACTCTATCTAAGGCATCAGAACAATACGATAAAATTATACAAAATAATATAACACATTTATGTTACTTAAAGCTGCGAAAAGGAACTCAATTGTTTTGTAGTGATTTTGGCGAACCATGTGGACAGAAGTGGTAGTGTTTCTGAGCGCCAGACTCCCTTTAGAAAACCTCTTTTACTGCAGCAGGATCTGCCCCTCGCAGTCCTGGTTCAGGTTCTCCCGGGCCTCCTTTCCTTACAGCGGGCCCAGCAGCAATGGCGGCTGGTCGATAGAGGACGCTAGGGCGCCGCCCCACCTTGAGCCACAACAATGAGTTCCTAAAATGTTTAAATTGTGAAGAAACAAGAATTTTACTCAACAATCTTATGAACATAATTCATGTAGCCAAAAAAATGAACAAAACAATAACACATCAGATAACATAGCATTCCCATCGGAAATATTGACAAATATTACAATACTATACTCAAGGATAACTTCACTCAAGTACAGCTGTTGAGTAGATGTACTTTGTTTTTTTTCAGCTTTAGCTCATATGAATGGATGAAATCATGAAACAGTCAGTAGATGTTTAAATGTTATCATGTTACACACACAACACACACACGTAACATGAAAATATGACAATGAAATAGAGCATTTTCCTGTGAACGCAGTAATAAAACGTCCTCATCACTGGCGTCCAAAAGCAACAAGCAGACAACAACTGGATTTAAAGTGGAGCGTTTTTATTATTACAGTCACAAACAAACAGAATTTCAATGTTACAGTATGTTCCGGCTGAAACGGGATGATTGGTCTGTTCAGATATTTGAAAAGTTGTTTTTATGTACATTTATTTTAAACCTTTAAGCCACAAGCAAGAAACCAGCTGGTCAGGGAGTCATAGGAAAGTTTCTTTGTATTCAGGGTTGTAAAAAGAAAAACAACAACTACTAAAACGGAATTTTCCAGTAAAAACTGGGGAGAATTATATTTAAAAAGCTTAGTTTGGCATTGTCTTCCTTGGGTAAACATTCTGATACAAGGCTCTGTATGAGTCCAGTCTCACAGCAGCAGTAGGACCCCCCCGTCCTGATCTCTCAGCTGGACTGTTGGCACACCTGCTCGTAGTATTTACTGAGCATCTCCAGCTGAGCGGCGCGCACCAGGATGTGCGGTCGGACAGACGCCAGCTTCTGACACGCTTCCTCTGGAGTCCAGCAGTGTAACTGTCAGCAGAGGAAAAAAGTGCAGAAACAGTCAAAATCCACATACTTACTATATATATATATATATATATATATATATATATATATATATTCACTCAGTCAGGACCGAGTTCCACAGAATCAGTAGAGTAGATCAATGACTTGAATACGTCACAATCATCTGTATGTTGGTACCGTATTCATTGACCAGTACACACTCTGCTGAGTACGTCACCGCCACGCGGCCGCTGCGGACATGTTGTTTTTTGGGAAGATTGTCTGAAACGTCTACCACAGCAACTTCGAGTCGATAGTCTCATACATTGCTGCTTGTTTTTGAGTTTAACTGAAGATTGCCTGCATACATTGCTGCTTGTTTTTGAGTTTAACTGAAGATTGCCTGCATACATTGCTGCTTGTGGATTAAACCCGCAGTCCTCTTCATTCTGTGTAACGATGCATCATCGTTCAGCCACCGAGTTGTTGTGCAGTACTGACCCGAATGAGGTACGCGGCAGCCATCGTGGCGCTGCGGGAGCGTCCGGCCTTGCAGTGAACGTACACGCTGCTGCCTTGCTCGCGGTGCTGCAGGGCGAACTCCACGCCTCGGCACAGGTTCTCCAGGCTGGGGACGCCGGTTAAGTCAACTGTGCTCAACCTCAGCTGCTCCACGCCTGCAGCCCGCCACTCCTGCAGCCAGCATCAAACAAATCAAGTCAACCCGTCATTCATAAAACCTCAAGCTGTGGTGACGCTGTTAGACGTCAGCCTGTGGCCGCTGGTCTCTCTCTGTGCAGAATTATGTTTATCATGAGGACATGGGGTCTGACTGACCTGCAGCAACCTAAAGCTGCACCTAACGACTATGTTCATTATCAAATAATCTGTCAAAAGGAATAGTGAAATATATGTAAGAATTCACCAGAGCCCAAGATTGTGATTACCCAATGTATTATAAAATGGTTGCAGATTAACTTCCATTTGACTGACTAATCGATTACTTGTCTATTTGTTTCAGGTATAAAGTAATCACCAGTAGTTCAGCTGATTATCATCATCTGACAGGAATAAAAATATCTTGAGGAGTATCACAAAACACAAAGAAAAACTGTAAAATGTACACTTTCAAACTGTCTGATTTCTTGACTTGTACGTGATCCAAACTGTTATAATTCAGCTTGCAGTCATAACATCTTGTTGCTGATTTTAATCTTCTCTTAAACTTCCCAAATGTTCACCTGAATGTTGTGAAGTGAACTCACCTCAGCTGAGTTGCAGAAATATTTGGTCTCATACTCCTCGTTCATGGTGATGACTCCTCGAATGTTTTCTGTTTCTACCAGCTGCAACAACAACAACAACAACAACAACAACAACAACAACAACCATCAGGACTCTGAAACAATGAAACTTTAGCTACAGAGTCCATTTTGAAATACTCAGGTAGTAACAATCATGTGGAGAATTGCTGAATTAGTTATTTGGTGGTTCTCACAGAACAGACGCTACAAACATATGATCTGATAGAATATGACGCATTGATGTCGATTAAACTAGTGTTTCTTAAAGTGGGGTCTGTGGCACAATACCAGGAGTCTGTTTTCAGATGAATTCATTTAAATTACAACAGAAAATGTTTTATGTATTTATTTATTTATCTATCTGTCGATCTATCCGTCTACCTATCTAAGTATCTACCTGTCTATCTATCTTAACTATTTTTAAGTTTTGAATGCAGGACTTTTACTTGAAGTGGAGTATTATCTTCACAGTGTGGTACTAGTACTATTAGTTATTAAAGCGTCATTAAGTCACACCTGTTTTACTAGTACTATTAGTTATTAAAGCGTCATTGAGTCACACCTGTTTTACTAGTACTATTAGTTATTAAAGCGTCATTGAGTCACACCTGTTTGGTGTCGGACCTGAACGGAAGCGCTCCGAGGAGGACCGTCTCGTCCACGCGATCGAACCAGCGTCTCGACGTCACCTTCTCCATGACAACATTGTAGGCTAACGTCGGGTAGAAGAGCAGCCGTGCTAACGCTCCGGACATGACTGAACCACTAATTATGTTAACAAATTAGCTTTTAAAGTCGGCCGGCTCTTGGTTAATACGCACAGTGACTCACGCTAGTCTGACCTGACGGTTTAAATGTTGGGTAGTTACGTTACGTCTTCTTCCTTTACGGAAGGCTGCTCCGGTAACAGCACGGCTTCCGGTGTGAATCCTTCAGAATAAAATCATCCGTGACCTTCACAAATATGATTCTTTGTGATAGTTTGAGACAGTTTTGCAAGTTGTATTTAATTATTTGTATTCGTATAACAATTTATTTTAAGGACCACTGTTCAAAAACAAGCAAAACAATAAAAAATAAAAAATAAAACAATACAAAAATAAAGATAGAGAAGATGATCTGGAACAGATTTGGCATGGCTACTTCCCATCTGCAAAGTGTATTAATCCTGCTGTCCTGTACAGTAAATTAACATTTTAACATTACCTTTTAATGTGACATCGACCATAAAAAACGAATTGCCAGCAAACAAACTTTATTTAGATAACTAAATAGAAAGTGAAAAGATACTAGATGCATTTTTCAAATCACAAGTTACATGACATGTCTACAGGAGGAAGAAAAAAAAAGGAAAAACAGAGAAACATTTAAAAAACACGAAGAAAGACAACCGTACAAACCACCAAAGTAATAGAAATCAATGAAAAGACGTTTTTCTGGACCCTACTGTTAAAAAATGAGCTCATGTAGCTTTTGACTTTTGTACTTAGGTTCTTCGCCCAGTTTTGGTAATAAAACATCCCCAAATTTCCATTTTGGTTATGCACAAAATATTCTGTTGACCCTTTAGTTAAGAATCCCTTTTAACTTAGACATAGATGACAATATTTCTTATGGCAAGTTTGGTTCATACATATCACAAAAACGATGACATCAGAGAAGCAAACCTAAATGTTAACATCCGGTCCTATGTCATGTGAACCGACCTCAAATCAGCTCACCTTTAATTCTGTGTTATCTTCCTGATCACTGAGTTTGAAGTCTGTTAAAGTGGTAAAATGTTGATTCCTATAATTTGGAAATAGCATTAAATATGCGCAGCTCACCGATAAGTTAGTATTTAGTTTGCAGACGAGGCTGATCACAAGTCAATGGTGAAACCTTTCAGACCTTCAATCTGCCGACACAGAGGTGGAAGAATTTGCCATCTCCCACGTTTTGACGATGATTTCTTTGCCTCGGATGAGCCAGAAATATGTGCAAAATAAAGTATTTAATCTCTAATAGAAAATCCATGTCAAAGTTCACCCAAGTATATCTCAAATAAAGTTAATGACAAACTAAGACTGTCTGGGAACTCAACCTGATAAAGCTGTCTGGAGTCTTCCAGAAGGCTTAACATTAAGAACCTATGCACGCACACACACGCACGCACACACACGCACACACACACACACACACACACACACACACACACACACACACACACACAGAGAGAAAGGGAGAAGAAATCTATTTATGCTTACCTCGTCTAATAAATTTAAATTTCATAAAAATCCTAAAAACACAATTTAGAGTAGACTTGGTGAGACTTGTGTGGGAATGTATAATGATTTCTCTTAGTCGAGCTTAACTAAACCACATATTTTATTAAACAGGTATTTGTGACATTTTCCAAAACATCCTACAAACCTGGAACTTTGCAGGTTTTTCATGTCTGTAGAACTCTGGATGAGTTTCAATTGGTCTCATTTTGCATGTCTTTACATTTCACTGTATTTGCTAATATTTTTGTGGTAAAACATTGAGGCTAATATAAAGATACTGTATGTATGTATATATTTTTTATAAAGGAAAATTATTCATCATAAAAAAATACGACTCCATACTTTCCAAGTGAAAATACATTTATTGTATCCGAGAAGCTTTTCCAAATCAGCCACCCTAGTGTATTGAATCCATGCGATTTAACTATATTCAAACAGCAATATACAGCGTACTTTCATAACAGTCTTAAGTCCAGTTTAAACAACTAACATCTTTGTCAAACAGGAGTTACTATGAAGCACAGCGGACACAGAAAGATGTACACAGATACACACAAGTATACAAACACATTTGGATGGAACAGTGTGTGTGTGTGTGTGTGTGTGTGTGTAACATTTCACGATGCACTGCAAATATATATTTTTTTCTAAAAAAAGTGCAAAGTATATATATAATACATTAGGCCTGTAACCCCGAATTGCACAACATCAGAAAGCTAAAATTTCTTTCGTTTTTTTATGCAAAAAAAAATAAAAAATGTGCGGTACAAAATACAAGCATGCATTACATCTCGATAACTGGCGAAGTTTAGTGAGTCAAAGTAGTGTTAGTTAATTTATGACAGACGTTTCTCTTCCTGTTACAGACAGTGATAGACCACTGACTTAACACTTTATATATATATACACCTTCATGTACTTATAGAAGCGTATGGCAGTGAGATGCGCTGATCCGTTTCAGAGGAGATCAGAACTTCTTTGAGAGGAACACGCTGCGATACCCTCAGAGCGGAGAGGTCAGAGGTCAGAGGTGGTGGAGTTCAGGATGTCGTGCTGGATCTTGGCGTTAGAGGCCTTGGACAGATCTCGCTGTGGAGACAGAGAAGCAGACTTGTTGAATCCTCAAAACGTAATGTGACGACGGGAGGAAGACGAGACAGGAGGAAGCAAACGTGCCTTCAACAAACAGCCGCTAGTGTGAAGGCCGTTAGTGTGAACTCTGATCCACAAGAGCTTTTAACTGCAGAAATCCACCCTTTTAGTTAAACACTAATAAGTAACATCACGTTATTTGCATCAAGCTATTTTGAGAAGTGTTGTTATGGAGCTACCGTCCCTTTAAATAGGAGTTCCTACATTTGAATTGGCCCTTACTAAAAGCTACAACAGGGAACTTCATGTTGTGGTGATTTTGGCGCTCCCTGTGGACGATGGTGGTAGTGTTTCTGAGCACCAGATGTCGAGCTTCAACAATAACTATATAGAAATAGACCATCTTCTCTCCGATGGTCTCGTTTACTCAGAAAAGGTCAGACAGAGGATCAGGACTAAGACATTTCTCTCTCTCCGTCTCTTCTACGATGAATTTGGCTGTTGAATGACTCTGGCTACTAGAGGTCCATGCATAACAGACGAGTGAGAAGTGAAAAGTCAGGTGAAGAGAGACAGAAAGATGTCAGAGGTTGTGGATAAACAGGCTGCGTTCAGACCGACGTGAGCCCCAGCAGGCTTCCCACTGGAGGTCCTCGTCCATCTGGTACCACAGACGGGGATCTCTTCATACACCAACATGTAACCAGCCAGCAGACTAATATTTACATAATGTAACGTACATAATACAGAGTTTCACACACTTTAAACCTGCATCTGCTACCGTGTGATGTTCACAATATAATCAAAATACTCTCAAACATAAACTACAATTTGAACCTTAATTAATGATCCTGAACATAGCTTCAGAAGGCCATGTTGTCTGTTTTTAAAGGCGATATATAAATAAAGTTATATGTAAAAGTTTATATTATTGCCACCCTGAGAAGTTTCCCGCTTTTGGGTGTTTTGGCGTTCCTCAAATTCTTCGATCTGTGACTCAAACTGGACAAACTGGACATCCCACTGCATGCTTTCTAAGGTGGGGCTGATGTTGGTCTGAACGCCGACTGTGCACGTTAAAGCTAAAGCAGCAGGTTAAGTTGCTCTTTAAGGGTAATGTTGCCTTTAGTTAGAGGCGTGTGGTTACTGCAATGAGAGAGTTACACAGTTTTAGGATTCCAAACACACCTTGACTGAACAGGTTCAGTGTCGCCCAAGTCCCTCTAAAACATAAATTTACACCATCAGCATTCACGACACGCTTAAATGTGTTGTTGCACAGAAATGAGGAAAAAGGAAGCGGAGAAAATAGAGTAGAGACAAAAGAGTAAATTACCACAAACTGGGAATATGTGCTGGCAACAGAGGCTATGCTGAAGTTAGGCTGTGGACTAGCAGGGGTCAGCAACGCACCGCTCAGAGGGCTCCCCTTCAGCTGGGCCTCGTTCTCCTTGTTGCAGCCCTGCAGCCGAGGGTTGGGGGGTTTACCGCCACCCGGCGTCCACGATGCCGGAGCCTGGAGGGACACGTCAGACCAACTATCCTCTTTAACGACACAGCGGTGACATTTTACAGTGAAATGATGAATCAGAGTGAGCGCAGCGCAAGGAAATACTAGTTCACAATCAAGACAACAGAAACACTTCAGCTGAGGTTATGTACAATCCAAAGCACCAACAAATGGAGCCGAATATTATAATAAGCTGGTTCTTCCAGAAGAGAAATACTTGCCAACCCTTTGCTTAACTCTTAAAGTTATTTTTCAGTGTAAATATGGCAGAAAGTGCAGTTTTCAGCCTCTCAAATGTTTTGTACCATATTAAACAGTTTGGGACAAAACGAGACCTTGAAAGTGTCGATCCTTTCGATTTCAGTCCTGAAACAATGGAAGTGTGCTCAGGCTGGAGGTTTGGGCTTTGTCAAGAATTCCAGACCAACATGATATTTTTCTGAATTGTGTGTGTAGATCTGTTGCCTTATGGCTCAATCACTGTTGTGTGACCTCCTTCAGCGATAGATAGCGACTTAACAGATGTTTATGTAAATTAAAATCCTTAAGATTGCCACTTAAATGACATCACCGTTGACTTTGAGGAACGGGAATGGTGACATGCCGGTATTTTTGCATCCTCATTTCCATTGTTGTCAATGTAGACGTGCAGAAAGAGTTCCAGATTAAATTCAAAATGAACTTATCCTCGTTTTGACTTTCTTTAGTTTAGCCAGTGAGGCTCAGGTTGTGGTTGCTCAATACCGGCTAAACCTCGGATAAAAGGATGAAAGCGAGACGCAACGTGTGAGCGGGCCCTTAGTCTTCTTGAAAATGAAACCAACCTTGTTAGCGGACAGAGGCGGGCGGGGCGCAGGCGAGCGGCAGAGGGTTCCGCCGTAGACGGAGCGGCTGGTGCTGTTAGAGGTGCCGCTGGAAATGCTGGAGGTCGCATTAAACTGAGGAGGGAGGCGGAGGGGAGCGGGTTAAAGAGGCCACATTTGCAAGAAAGTATAAAAGTGAAATTGTTTTGCTACCTTTCGTGATTTAATTGGGGTTTGAGTGCCGAGCAGCCTGCGTTTGGTGGGGGTCCGTACCGCCGTCCCGTACAGCATATCCTCTTCGGTCTGCTTGCTCTTCTTGAGATGCTGTGAAGAGTTTGTAGCGAGAAGAGTGAGCAACACATCCGGGCTACACGAGCCCATAAAAACACCGCGGCAGCTTGTTTACCCTCTCTTGTTTCTCCATCTCCTTCTCTACTCGGTGCAGCTCCCACTGTTCCTCCACATACTGCAGAAACTTCTGCCCGTTGACTAGAAACTCACGATCCTGTTCGCTTTCCCACGCATCGATCTGGGCTTTTAATTTCCTTTCAAGCTAAAAAAACAACAACAAAAAACAAACGCATGAGTTAGTGTTGAATGCTCAAAAGAGAAGTGAGTTTAGAATGAGAGGCGGCCCTCACAGCTTACCTTGGGCAGGCTCTTGTGCAGCTCAGACCTCTCTTTCTCCTCTTTGAGGAGATTCCCTCCTCTGTTGGTGAATCTTGTTGGATCTGTGGCTTTCTTCTGTGAGAGAAAAATGAAAGAGAAAGTTCCACCTCAGCTCCTAAAATAACTATAATATACTAAAGTGTGTAGCTCAAATACAGACACTCAGAACCTGAAGGACTTATTGAAACCACAATGTTTTTCCCACAGCTATTACAGCAAAGAGTCATGTTTTATATTATATCAGGCTTTCAATCTAGAGCCATGGATTCAGAACTTGTGTTTGAAGGATAACTCCAGGATGTCAAACTGATTCATCAGAGAAAACAAGTTTAAAGATAGAAGCTGAAGTGTAAAAGTGAACCAACACGTCACCTGGAGATCCAGACAGAAGACAATGAAACTAAAGAACACCCACCACTGGTCCTCTTTATTCACTGTTAATCATTAAAAAGAGGGAACTTTAGCACACCAGTAGGTCGAGAGGTGCGTAGGAGAATACCGAGCTCGATGTACCAAAACACTGACTAAATATCTCTGAATGAAGTGAAGAAGACAGTGAGCGGGAGTCTTCTGCTCTATACTGTCACCATCATTAAAATACATTCAGTGCAACTTCATAGACGTGCTAACGCTAGTTAATGACGTGCTAACATACTCTGCTAATGTTAGCTCCACGAACTCCAAATCCACTAAACCAGCCTGAACATGAAGAACATCTGAAGCCATCGACGCGTCTGTGGAGACGAACAGTCGCTGGACGATGCTACGCTATGATTGGCCAGTCTGTGTTTGTGGGCGGGACTTAGAGAAGTTTTGTTGCTCCTCTGGTTTCTGCTCACAGCGAGTGTTAGTTTCCTGTTCCCCGTCACATGGTACTCACCTCCAGCTGCAGGAAGAGTCTCCAGCTGTCCTCCCACTGGTGAACGCCGTCATAAAGCTCCCCGTGATCCTCATAATGCTGCTTCAAGCGCTGGATCTCAGCGTCATGCAGACTTAACAGATCTTCAGTAACTTCCTCTATGAAAAAAAATTTAAACTCAATTAAAGTCTCAGCACTTTTCTAAACTCGAGTATTTTTCTGATGAAGACAACATTAAACTAAACAACCCACCGCTAAAATATGGAGCGAACGCCTGCCGCTGGTCGCTGCTGAAGAAGCACTTCTCCCAGAGCACGGCGATCTCAGAGCGGATGGCGTCCGTCACGTTGTGGATGTTCAGCCGCTTGAGCTCCTCCAGACGCTGAACTTCTGCTTGTAGCTTGAGAGGAAAAAATAAAAAGTGTAAACTTAAAAAATGAACAGAAGAACAAACTAGGAACCAGGAAGTAATAGTCAAATCTTCTCACCGCTTCCAGGTTCCTCTTCCTAGATGTGACCATGTGTTCGTTGAAGGCCTCTCTCTCCTCCTGAGGCACGTCCAGTCTTCCCCACAGCCGCTGGATCTTCTCCCGGTGAGCCTCGCATGTCGCCTCGTTCTCCGCCTTGCGCTCCTCCAGCTGCAGGATCGACACGAACACCGTTGGATCGCTTATTATATCAACGCATCAAACATGAGAGGGTGGAGGTGAAGAGAGGAGGAGGAGGGCTCCGACTCATCTTCTCAGAAACTAACGATCAGGATTATAACTCGCTGAAGGGGAAACGGGGACCAACCGAGAGATTCCCTCAGAGATATTAACGTGACATATTACTTGGATAAGATTGCCTTAAAGAAACGTCATCAATGCATTCAAAATGTCATTACATTTAAGTAAATGAACACGGATATTAACAGTGTGGTGATGCAAGTTATAATGTTTGAGAAAAGTGTATTTTCCTAAATGCTGAGACTCCTTAGACATTAAACCTGCTCATTACTGTGAACAGATGAACTGTAGCTTCGTACTTAGGCCTCAAGCAGACGTGAGGAAACATCCGGCAGGAAGCACTTTGTGAGCCCACAAAAGAAAAGTGTGCTAAAGAGTCACCACCGCTGCTACAAGTCCATCCTCTGGGAAACACTTATCTTACCTGACAAACAAGCAGTTTGAGTGACGTGATGTTGTCTATCGAGAGGCAGAAAGAGTCCTCGTCCTCACAGACCACGTCCTTCTCAAAGCTGGTCTCGGGGACGTGGTCCAGCTCTCCCATGTACAAGATGATCCGCCTCTTCAGGTCCGTGAACTCGGCGTACCGCCTCGCCTGAAACCAAGAGAGCGGCGCACCATTTGGTCAAGAACAGATCAGATTAGTGTTAATGACAAACGTGTCTGTGTAGGTGTTGTAGTGACCTGCTGTTTGTTGTTATATGACAGACATGTACTTGTACAACACCACCAACCTCATCTTTACTGTAAAATGTCAAAAGAAAAGGTGTCTAGCATTCGGGAGTGTGTTATCAAATCGACACCCAGATTCAGGACAGTTTTCCTTAAACATGAATTCTCAAATGTCCTCTCAATGTCTTGATTCATGTGAAAACACATCAAACCAAGAAAAACACATAAACTATCATCTCAAAGCCTTAAATCTCTTTTCAGGTAAAATAGAGCTCAAGGAAGAGAGAGAATCACACTCCTCTTTCCATTTTCAACCCGGGGTTGAGGGTTTGAATTTATTGTAGAGACGCATATATATTTAATAAACAGCCAAAAAGAGGCTTTCATCTGCTCCTGCCCAACAATATTACTGTTTTCTCTTATTCACAGCACCACCGCGCTGTCTCCCGCTCTTGTTCTCTGCCTTTTATTTTAAATCAGGAAGCCGACAGCAAAGCCTAACTTTACTTTTTAACGTTACCAAACAAACAGAAATGCTCTTCCCTCGTCCTGAATCGATTCTAGAGGACTTTCTTGTTTTATGAATGAAGCTGTGTGTGTTTGACCAATCGGGGACGGTCATCCCTGCAAACCCCACCCTGAAAGCCCCATGACCAGTGTCTTTTTAGGGGCTAAAAGACCCCTAGAACTCAATCTAGACCCCGGTCCCTGCAGTCAAAACAGAATGAGTTCCTTGAAACGGTTCCCTGGTGAAAGTTCCTGCTGCTGAAAAAGAAGCTAGAGAAGATTATTGCGCTGCAAAGACAAACCACCTGCAGTCAGACCTGTAGCTCTCTAGGAGAAACACTTTCCTCCTCATGCAGTCAAAATAACTCCAGACGTAGACGTAACAAAGCGAGCTCTCACCTTCTCCGTGTTCTGGTTGGCGATGTGCTGGCTGAAGCTCTCCAGTTGTTCCGGCGTGGGGACGGATTGAGGAAGGATGCCGTACGGCATGGAGCACAGGATGTCGCAGAGGTCCTGGTCCTGGTCGAGCAGAGCCTTCAGCTGCTGCATCCGCTGAGCCTTCTCCGTCATCAGAGCCTCCACCTGGGTACGGATGTTCCTCTCCTGCTGGAGCATGCTGATGCCAGTCTCCTCCTGAACGCACGAAGACGAGAACGACAAGTTCAGGATGTTTCTAAAGCCACTAAAGTCTGTTTATCATCAACTAATAACTACAATCACAGAGGCGTTTTATATTAACTGACGTTATGCAAAATGAAAACATAGTGAGCAAGCAGGTTAACATTTTTAAATAACAAAATAAAACAATAGAAATATTTGCATGATTCAGCAGCATTGACTCTGCTGGTGGTCGTTACCTCAAACACGGGCAGCTGGAGTTCCAGGTAGAGCTTCTCCATTTCGGTCCTGCAGCTTTGGATGCTGCTTATGAGTCTGGTCTTCAGAGACTCCTCCTCTCTGATCATCATATCCAGCAAACTCTGGAAGGTGAAGACAGTGAAATGAATCAGCATTGTGCAGCAGACAGATGTGTGGATCTATTGAAATCCAGTAACAGATACTGAGGGCCGATATGGATACAGCTATTAATTAAAGTGATGTCGTTCCGGTCCCAACATGTATTTGGAGTTAACTTTGTATCCAGTAATACTGGTCCAGCTTTATTTGTACCTGATCTAGTTTATCTAGACACACTACTGCTGTCTGCCAACAATCCAGGAGATGAGAGTACAACGTACTTCAACTCAACTGTTGAAAACACGACATTTTAATTGTTGCATTACATGATAACATTTGTTAATCTCCACCAGGTTGTATACTGGAAGCTTCCTTGTTCTCACACGGCTGCCTCAAATAAAAATTACTTTTTAGTCAATTTTAAAAGAGGAAAATCTTGCACAGAAAGTTAGATATCATCATATGAAGCACTGGCTTCCAAATGCAACAGCAGTAGTTTAAATAGAAATAGCCTGAAGGGGCTCTAGTTAGGGCTGGGCGTTATGGTGGAAATCACAATATTTGACCAAATACCTGTTCATCCATATTGTGACAATCTTGGAGGGTTTACTATTGGTGCCTTTACAAAATATTTACACAATTAAAACTGTAATGCAGCCTTTAAAACCAGGATTAGCCAACCCTTATGCCACATTATGATATTCAATATCTAAAACGATTACTAGGCTCACATTATTATCTCTATAGAACAGCTGCATGCACGACTTGTAGTTCGATAACACATGACACATCTGTGTGATACATGAGCCATTACTCCGACATTAGCCCTCTGCTGACAGCAGGAATCACATGAGCGCCCATCAGTTGGAGAATACGGAGCAAAAGAGAATACAAACTGTCAGAATGTTGAAACTAATGTCATCAGTCGACAGACGATTGGGCTCTTTTCATGACGGATGAACGCCTGTCACTGTTCTGGACATTTCTAAGATACATCTCAGATAAATCAGTCGTAAAAAGTAGAGAGTGATTAATGCATGTTAGATACTCTGGTATCAATGTATGTGGCAGCAAAAAAAACAACAACAACAACTGCATGTTTGAAGCCTTCTTGAAACTACAAGTATGTTTATACACCGTAAAATGTCTCAATCAGTTCATATCTTGGTCCCATTATTTCATTAACAGAATATCAATATTAGATAGTTGTCTGTGAACTTCAGCAGATTCCTGCACAAACCTGTACCGCTCTCATCTTAAAACTGATATAATGTGCTTTTTTCACCATGTTTCCTATATTTATGTTTCTTGACTTTGACTTTTTATTTTCTCACATCCAAAACACAGAGGTACAGTCCTGGGATGTGAAAACCTACCTGGTAATAAACCTGATTCTACTTTGATTAATAGGCCAGATGTCTCGATGGTGTGGTTAGTTTCACTCACCCCTTCCCCACCCTCCTCTGTCGAAACCTGTTTATAATCCCTCAGATCACAGATACATTTGCTGACCTAAGAAAGCACCAGGTTTCTTGACAATATTAACTGGAGGTCTCACCTTAATGTGGTTCTTGACGACATTAACTGGAGGTCTCACCTTAATGTGGTTCTTGACGACATTAGTCCTCTGCAGTCTCTGGTCCTCGGGGATACCGATCTCCTCCCAAATGTCCTTCAGGTGGCACAGTGCTTTATTCAGGCACGACACGGCCTCTGCTGCGAGCACCTCGCTATAGGAACAGACAGCAGGACAGGTGATCAATACATCTATTGGCACCAATAGTGACGTTTGAAAACCACAGAAGTCACGTATCTGATCAAGCTAACAGACGTTGGAGTGTTTTTAGCTAATGCTAGCTAGCTAATTTGATCAACAGTTAGCTACGTGCTATCTCATTTACTGAATATCCAAGTTTATTTAACGGTTAATAAACAATAAAAATCTCACCTCTTTCTCATTGTTGAATTCCACTCTGTTGTGATTATCGGTGAAGAGTTTAAAACAAACTAAAAGTTGCCACAGAGACGAGCGGAGCGTCACCTCTCTCTCTCTCTCTCTGTCCGTTTGTACGCAGTTCAAAATACGAGTACCACGGCGTTCTGCTCTCTGATTGGCTAAAAATGCGAGTACCGTTGCGTTCTGCTCTCTGATTGGCTAGTTCCACAGGAGCGCGTGTTGGGTCAAATCAATGTCGGCCGCCGAAGGGCGCGTTTCACCGTTTCGAGTGAACCCCCCATCGCTGGACAACCGAAGAGAGAAAACAAACACACTAGTTTCATTGAGGGTGTGGTGATGTTCAGCAACAGTTTGACACTTCATGTAACAGAGGTGCGGTGTTAATTTTAGACTTGGAAGAATTCACAGAAGACCAGTGATGGAAAAAGTATTCAGATAAAGTAAAAGTACTTATACCACACTGCGGAACAGTTAAAGCTGGCACGACAACATCAGGCAGTGGCTCTATTCTTCACTAATTTTAACCAACACTGAATAAAATAAACAAAACTAAACATTGACAAAACTATGTAAAATACTTAAGTGAGGATGATGTATGTAGCTTGTCTGATACACTGTAATTTACACTTTTATATAAATACCTTGAGCTCATTGCATCAGTAAAGCAGCTATCAGCAGAAAAAATAATAAAAGGTCAAGCACAGTGTCCAGAGAAACGCAACAGGAACATTTTACACACAAACATTAGAAAAAGAGCATGGAGCATAAAAGCAAATGTAGATATATATATATATATATATATATATATATATATATATATATATATACAAAATCATTCATTCTCACTTTACAAATATAGGGAATCAGACAATAATAAATCAATATATAAAGCATTGAACACAGAACTAATAAACAAACACATGAACTCATTATAAATAATTAAATAACAATAGCCTCTCAAATTTGAACATTTGAATAATACAGACCCGATTCCTTATCATTAACATTAATCAAATACAACAAGTAGAAAAATAAAGTGATTAACTTCACTCCTCTCCAACGGCTTCTCTGGTCTGAGTGGAGTCACCAACCACCGTTACTCTGACTCTGATAGGGGGAGTCTTCATGACAGCCTCCATTGGCCCCCACTTGTCCTCCTGTATGGTGAGGGTCCGGTTGTCCTCAAGGAGCAGTTGAAGACATCCTGGAGTCCCCTCAACGTCCACGACCCCATAGGCCCCGCCCACCTGACGAAGGACAGGTACCATATTGTCAAAAGACTCCAAGGATTCAATAGAACTATGACACCACACAAGTCCCGGCACACCTCCGTACATCCTTTTCCAGCCCGTACCAGACGAGCTTCGCTGCTACCAACTTCTGAGACGCCCTCTTGTCAGGGTGCGACAGCCCATGAATAGCGTTGAAGACCTGTTGTCTCCATTCGTCGGGAACAACCGGCCGTGGCTGGCCTGTGGAGACGTCACACAGGAGCGTAGCGCCAAACGGGAGAGACTTTTGATTTCATTTCACCAGGTTTTCACAGGTTTTCACAGGTTTTCACAGGTTTTTCACCAGGTTTTCACAGGTTTTCACAGGTTTTCAGCGAAAACCTGGTGAAACTAAATGAAAAGTCTCTCCAGGGCCATCACCGGGGCTGTCCAGTTAGGATTGGACAATAACAAGATGGCTGGGGATCAAGTTTCAGACCCGGTCTTGCAGGAATTGAGGACAGTCAGTTACGGGACAGCAGTTGGAGGTGGTCCCGTTTGGCGAAACTGGCGCTACGCTCCTGTGTGACGTCTCCACAGGCCAGCCACGGCCGGTTGTTCCCGACGAATGGAGACAACAGGTCTTCAACGCTATTCATGGGCTGTTGCACCCTGACAAGAGGGCGTCTCAGAAGTTGGTGGCAGCGAAGTTCGTCTGGTACGGGCTGGAAAAGGATGTACGGAGGTGTGCCGGGACTTGTGGTGTGCCAGCGCTCCAAGGTGCACCCTCACACAAAGACTCCTTGAGCACAGTTCTCGGTTCCAGAAAGTAGGTTCGATCACGTGAATGTGGACTTGATAGGACCTTTGCCCACATCCTGTGGTTTTACACATCTCCTCACAATGGTAGACTGGACCCTGGACCACTGGACCCTGGACCTTCCTCCTGCCATGGCCCTGCTGACTCCCACTGTTAATATCTTTTTTATAATTACTCACATTACTATTTTTATCACCATTAATGCTCATTACTAACTTTGCTTCTTCACCGGAGTCTCTGTGCTTTCTCTCCTCACAGGTTTCCGTGGATCCTGGTGATACCTGGACCCTGGTCTTGCCTCCTGCCGTGGTTCTGTCATGTGCACTGAATGTGTTGTAACTCTGTAAATGTTGTTCATTCTGTACACATCTGTTGCACTTCTGTCCATCCTGGGAGAGGGGTCCCTCCTCTGTTGCTCTCCCTAAGGTCTCTCCCTCTTTTCTTCCCGTTAAAGGGTTTTTTGGGGGAGTTGTTCCTGTTCTGATGTGAGGGTCCTGGGACAGAGGATGTGTACAGATTGTAAAGCCCTCTGAGGCAAATTTGTGATTCGTGATTTTGGGCTATACAAAAATAAATTGAATTGAATTGAACCTGTTCCTACTGTTTTCAACAACTCCACAGAAGACACCTGGACAGCTCTGAGGCAGACCGTCAGATTTCACTCTGATGACGTAGCATGGCGCTAATTTCTTATAAAGATATTTCATTTTATTTCATTTGATTGTGGTCAGGCTTCCTGGGGGGCTCCCAACCCATCTTAGTTATGCTGGGATGTGAACTTCTGTTGACGTGAAGGTCTAGTTTAGACCTACTTTGAGTCATTTCACTATATAATTCATTTTACCAAGTTTGATTAGTTAGCCAAGCAAGGTTTTAAAAAAGTAAGGCTTTTTTTAAATATAAAGATAGTGGGACCTTATCAGTGGCAGCTTTTCATACCATGAGTCGAAATTAGCAAGATAACACTCATTATAATCCAACACAAACTTTGATAAGAACCTACCTCTCTTAATTCAGGATGGACATCACTAACGTATCAAACAAACTTCAAGAAATATCTTATTTTAATTTGATTAAATATGTCATTTAGTTGGCAAGTGGCCGTGGTATCAGTGGGATAAAACACATCCAATGCTTGTGATTGTCTGGTACTGTCCCATAGACCAGGGATTTCTGGACGTCAGTGCTTCCTCGGTGTTGAGGTGATGATATGTGTGTAGACCTTGTGTGTATCTGCATGTATGAGTGTGTGCATACCTTCATGATCGTTGTCCCGGTGCACACCTGGAGGAGCGTGAGCAGGACCATGCCAAAGTGCTGGAAGTGGACGTGCTCATTTATGCCAAAGCACACGTCATCGTCAACCTTATCTTTATCTGTATCTTTATCTTCGCTAACTCCATTTCTCTGTCCTCCATCTTTTTTTTTCCCCCCCGAAGAATCCTCTCATCTTCTTTTTCATTGTGAGACAGATGTCCTCCAAGAACATCCTCTCGTTGATCGTTGATGATCTTGCCCTTACCACGAGTAAGATCCGTTTTCACCGGGACAGGCGGCTGGACTTTGGGGGGAGGTCCTGGACGTTCCTGAGGATCAGCAGCCGTGTTTTTCGGCGGGACTCTGGGGGGAGGTCCTGGAGGATCGGGCGCCCTGTTCTCCTCCAGGTCTCTGAGCTGGTTTGTCAGACTGATGATCTTGCCCTTAGCGCGAGTAAGATCTGGTTTCATCGGGACACTCGGCGAGACTCTGGCGGGAGGTCCTGGACGGTCCTGAGGATCGGCAGCCGTGTTTCTCTGTTTCTTGCTTCTATACGCTAAACTGTCTGGAACAGATCGTGGTGCGAAGAAGACTTCGGTGTCTGCCACAGACTTTACTTTCTGTCGAGGACTTTGGTCGTCTTCAACTTGTTGTGGAACGGTTGTCATTTTGGCGATCGTCTTTAAAACACTGTGGTTTTGAGCGGGAGATCTTCTGAATAGTGTTATCGAACACTTTATAAACTATTCAGTGCCTTTTAAAAATGTCACATACCTTCCATCACCATGGATACAAGGACTGCAAACTTGCTATGACATGTAGCAGCATTACCACGGAGACGGAGAACTAGAATTCTTTATTTACCTTTGAGCCTCACTTTAAAAAAAACCAATTATGTATTAATACTATCTTCACTTTCACTGAGTTAAATCTTTCAACCATCATCAGTTCTGATCATAACTACCAAGAGTGAATTTATTTTTGGGATTTTAACCCTTTGAATGTCTGTTTACATAATGTGACACAAAATGAATTTGTTTCCATTTACTACATTTCTTTGTGTGTGTGTGTGTGTGTGTGTGTGTGTGTGGGGTGGGGGTGGGGGGGAGAAAAAAACCTCCCTCTTGGTACCATTGAGGACAAACACGTCCTCTAGTTAAATGGCTATAAAAATACTATATATCAACATTATTTTCCCCTTTAATGAGTTAATTGTTTATAACTACCAAGTATTCATTCATTTTAGTCTAGTGGACTTCTTACTCATTAAGGACCCATCAACTAATATTTGTTTCAGTAAGCACAAAACAATGTAAGCCAGTTAGATCTTAAACATATAAAAGTTTATGACTTTATAGTGTCACAGATTTATATTATATTTTTGGGGGCTAGTAAAATATCCAAATCTATAATAAAAAAAATATTTTTTGTGATTCTTGAAATTTCCAGTCGTTTCACAGAAACTTAATCAGTATTTTGATGAGCGTTTCATTGTTTACGTCTTTTTTTTTACAAAAACTACAAAACATTTTCTGGTTCCGGATTCTCAAATGTGACATTTTTTGTGAAGTAAATATCTTTAGATTTTTGAGTGCTGATCAGACAAAACATTAGAAGTTTGATGACTTTAATCAGTGAGCTACATGTTCGGAGCTCCAGACTTAATTTACCACTTTTGATAGATTTCTGTAGTAAGAAAAAGGAGAAGCGTGTTTGTATGTAAGAGAGAAAAATGAGTTAAAACAAAAACATATGCATGAGAATATATCTTTTTATTGATCCATTAAATGTTTCATAAATGACAAGGTCCAGCCCTAAAGGGCTTTTGACATGTGATGATAACATTTGACACAATGATGATGATTAGGGTGGCACATATTCATATTAATTAAATTATGTCATACATAACAATAGAAGCGTTTGTAAAGCTATGATTGGATTACTGAACTGAAACGTTCTGGTTTCCTGTTTGCACGGGCACAGATGTTTCCTCGCTGAAGTATTTCCACCTATAAGCTGTAGACATGTATAAAGGATTTAATATGAAGCTCATTCATTTAAATGGGCACAGAAGATACACGAGCACTCAATATCTGACAGCAAAACTAATCAAAAGCTTTACGTAGTCAAATGTAATTAATGCAGAACTGGTATTCTGCATGCTGTCTTAACGTTCATCTGTGGACAAAGGTTGGTATTTGACCTTTGACATCCTGCCCTTGTACAGGACCACGGCACTGATCATGCCAACAGCTGCGAGAAGACATCCAGCGATGAACACCAGGTTCAGATTCAGGTGGAGCGCTGGAGAGACAACAAGCACCATGTTTTAACTTGATCTGGTCCAAAGTGGCTCAAACAAGTGAAGTGTGCTGGTAACAAATAACCTTTCTCTGGTTTCATACCTGAGCTTTCGCTGCTCTCCGCTGATCTCTTTAAGCGCAGGGGACCCTGGGAAACGAAGTGCCTGGCACTCTCCACGGCAACCTCTCTCTTTCTGCGGTGGTGGTTTTGAGGCCAAGTGGCTGGCGTTGTGGAGCTGATGCATCCCTGAGAGGACCTGGTGTTGGGTTCCCCTGCTGCACACATCAGGACTGTGCAGCTGATGTACACCTGAATGAAACAGAACACGCTGTCATCACACCAGCAGACGGACCGACAGCAGAGCTGTGCTCAGATCCAGTTGAAACCTCCGCTCCACTTTGCATCTCCACGACAGTCAGTGACGTCCACCTCGTCCTCAAGTCCATCCGTGTCAAGTGGTGCCAGTTTATTTCTTAAAACCTCATCAGCGCTGAGTTTATTAGAGATGCAGTTTTTCTGTCATGATCGTTAGACATCAGATTCACAAAGTGAAGCCACAGGTTGTAACAACCAGTCAAGTTCATAATAACCACATTCAAAAATGAATTTAAAATGAAATACAATGTTGTTCTATAAAAGGTGAGTTGGGAAACATAGATTGAGTTTCACAAAATATGTCAAAAATTACATGTTTTTGTTGACAAATTGCTTTTCTTGAATTGCTCGACTAATGTTTATTGAAAAAAAGTCTATTTTATTTAGTTTTCTACAAAGTCTGACATTATTACGTTCAAATATGTTTTGTTTTTGATCAATTATTGATGTGATAAGCGTCTCAGGTGTTTTCAGAGATTTGCTTCTCTCTGATTGGTTGTTACGACCTGTGGCTTCAGTACAAACATGTGTTGCTTCACATTGTGTGTTATACCTGATGAAGATCCATGACGGAAACACTGTGCCTCTAATAAAGTTCACATGACTGCACCTGTCCACCAAGTGTGCATTGATTACCGCTTAGTACAACTAGTCAGATAAATGAAAGGACGTCATGAACTGGACCTATTCGTTGAAGCATTTAGAGATTTCCCAGAGACATCAACAGTCCTCTGCTCCGTTCTTTACCTGATCAAACATGCCGATGAACTTGAAGGCCTTCATGCTGAACCTGAATTGTCTCGGGTGGGAGGGGGAATGGATCTGAACGGTCGGGTCCTCTTTACACCTAGTCAGAGCAAAACACAACAAAAATATGTTGCCTTTGTTACTCTGTGCCTTACAGTGGATGCTGCTATAGGGGCAGAGGTATTGTTCTATTGGTATTCCCACAATAAGAAAAGTACTATAGGTTATACAAAAGATGAAGTGAGTGAAGCATTGACTTCTACATCCTGACAGGGTGACATTACACAGAAGAGCCTCTAAAGCAACAATCAAAGAACTAGTCTTTACAAATGCTCTGTTATGCCCTCTATTGCCACTAGGGGGTGTGTCCATGCCTACCCATTCTCAATGATGGAGTAGGTCTGCTGGGAGTTCTGGTTGTCATATGGTGAAGCTCTGCAGGACTCCACAAACAGCACGGTGTTGTTGACGGAGGAGGTGGCCTCTATCTGCATGTAGACCCTGCTCCCTATTTCATACACCACCGGGTATGAAGTTGGATCAACCATGGCTTGGTATTGGTCGTTAGCATAGAACTCAAACTGGTAGGTGAACCTGCCGAAGCCCCTGTCCCACACTGAGACGATGGGCCTGTGTGCTGTGAAGGCCAGTGTCGCGTTTCCACGTTTGGGGTACTGGCAGTAGAACTGCACCTCCAGCAGGTGTTTCCTGGTGATCACGTCAGTTCTGTTGTCAAACGTGGTGATTTCATTCTTGAACCTGAGGTTATCCCCGTCTTCCTGCAGTGAAGAAAGGTTATGTATTCAGTCCTCATACTGCGAGATAAAGGCAACACCAACGACTGAGAGAGAAGAGCAGCCGGTAACACAAGCCTGCGTTACCTCGAGCTCAGTGCCACAACCGCTGAGGGGGATGTCGGCGAAGACGTAAGTGCTGTTGGAGTGCAGCCTGCAGGCGGTGTTGGCGCCGTCGTTGAGCCGCAAATGATCCTCATGGAGTCCATGGAATGAAGATTTCTCAACCTCTACTCTCATCGTGGACTCGGTGCAGATCACATGGGAATCAACTAGAAGAAGAGAGTGTTAGAAAATACACATTATATACCAATGGTGTACTTATTTACAGGGGGCAGTAATGCCAACAAGAACTTCAGCAACGTTCCAGCAGACAAAGACTGCGAGCTGGTAAACATTGATGTGAACAGTTCATGATTTAAAATACTTTGTTTGAGGAAGGAAAGGCTCCCAAGGCCACGATACACACAATGTGTTCTAATGAATGTAAACATGGCTTTTGTTCGTATACTATAAACTCCACAGGACACCTTTAGGTTGTGTTTCCATCAAAAAGAAAGTGAAGTTTCTTTACAGTTCTGCTGGTTTGGTTTCACTGGGTATGAACAGTTAACGTGGTATTTTTGTCTAGAGCAAGAATGTTTTGAATCCAATGACGGCTCAGAATTTTGTCTGGTAGAAAGGTTTAACCAATCACAGCACTTTATAGAAGTGCACGTCTCGCGGCTTTTTAAACTTTTAAACTTTTTAAACCATGCAGCCAATATTTGGCACTTTAACTTAACATTTAGCGTGTGATATATTTGGTGAAAATACACACCATTACAGCTGTACTTAAACAACTAAATGTTGACATTAAAGTAGACTCACCTTGCACCCTCCGAACTTCTACCAGAACACACCTCATCTCGGACTGATAGACGCCGGACCTGAGGAGCATCGGTGAACGCTGATTTAATGCTTTTACTCTTTCAGTTAGGCCGATATGTCGTGTTCAAATTATTACTGGTGGTTTTGGCTCCTAATTTTCTACTTTGTTGCTTAAGTGAAAAACACCAAACACAGAGAAATGTCACTCACTGTGGAGATGGGGTGGAGTGGTGATTGTGATTGTGATGGTGTGTGGTGGCGGTTCCATCATGCCTGCTAAAAAATGTGTTACAAAGTCAAATCATGGCTTCCCACACACACGTACAAATTCTCTCACAAGGAAGCCAAAGCTTACCCGGTCTCCGCTTCAACAGCAAAGCAGATCGGGAAAAACTCCCCCAGGTCATGTTGGATAGGCGTCCACCTGATGACGAACTCCCCATGTGTGCTCCTTTGCTTGGTGATGTTCAGTGGGCCGCTGATGATGATGTCATGTATTCTGTGTGATAACAAAGCAAAGAAAGCAGAGATTTATTGCCTCTTTCCTCTCTGATGTTATCTCACGCGCCTCAAGGCAACACCGGTCACGTCGGCTCTCACTCACGTTGCGTGTGACGCTCGTGCTCTGACTCTGATCTCCACTTCTCTGTCGACCTCTGCATGGAGGCGGGCTCCGTTTAAAGGTGTCGGGGCCAAAAACTCTGGCAAGTAGAGTCCCTCCTGACACGAGGGAGCAGGTGGGTCCACTGGAGTTAAAAGATAGAAGATTCATTTGAGTTCCAAAGTGCAATAAGTAAGTTCTACTTAAAAACCGACACTTTGCTGCTGTCTGTGGATCACAACTTCAAAGTGTCGCTGATTTCTAGCAAAGACAAATGGTCTGCTGGCTGTAGCTGTTCATGTTGTTCATGAAAAGAGTTTTAAAGAGACATGTTTTTACAGGACAGAGACGTTCAATGTAACAAAATTCACAGGCAATAGTTTAGTGAATAAATAAAAACTAGTTTCTGGTCAAACTGTTCTCAGAGATTCCTGACTTTAAGAATCTAAAATAATGTCTTCTGCCATGTGTAACATCTCATTAAAGTGTTGCAGAGCTGCAACATGAAGCAGTTTTTTTGTGGATTGGCTCATTGAAAATGCTGTCACACAATAAAAATAACTCACCAAGAAAAGAGAACTGCAAAGGTAGTTTACTGAGTGGAGGAGTGGGGCCATGGAGGGTTGTATGTGCAGCATGTCTCTTACTCCTCACAACCAGTGGAGTCCTGGAGGATCGGGATCCATCAGTGTAGCCCAGAGTGATGTTCCTTTGCGGGAAGTCCTCCACCACCATCTCAAATCCATAAACTCTGGGGTTGGCAGTGGATTGATTGTAGTGTAATGTGCAAGAGTCCTGACGATGTGAACATTTTGAAGTTAAGTGAGGCAAAGCATCAGTGAAGTATTGAACAATGTATTAGGAAATTTACTTTTCAACTAACCTGATCTAAGGTGAAGCCTGAAGGTTGGTGACACGAGCTACACTCTACATTTGGGATATTTCCATATCTGCATCGAACTCTGTCTCCATCAGGATCAAAGGACATCAGCTCGTATGTCCGTGAGCAGTTCTCAGGAACTCTTGAGTGGACACATGAACATGAGTCAGTAACATGAGTCAGTAACACGAGTCAGTAACAAGAGTCAGTAACACGAGTGAGTAACACGAGT